GCCGCTTTTGCACAAAAGCTTCAAACTGCGCTCAAAGTAGCTGCAACTACTAAAGAGAGACGCGAGTACTCTCGATCAAGAAGATACAAAAATCGACAAACTCAGTTGTCGCAATAACAGGTAAAACATATGCACAACGCCTTAAGCAAGTCAGCTTATTTACATTGAGCTATTGAAGTAAAAGAGACTGCCTAACAGCAGCCTACAAGATCATCCACTAAGTGGACAACCTGAACAGGTCAACATTATCTGTTGGAAACCGAAGATCTCGTGGGAAATCCACCCCATATGAACGATAACAGTGAGATCTAACTTCTTCTTTCACATTGTGTAGCTTGTGGAACACTGTCTACGGAGGTAGCTATATCCACAGCAGTTGACTCTTTCAAATGGCTGCTGGATAAGTACCTGAACGCAAACTGCTTATCACGAATATTTGCTGGTAGCAACTAAAGGTACGTTCATCCACCTCTCCATTGTCCAACTCTAGTATTTGCAATAAAACCTATCCCTTCTCCCTATTATTATCAGCAAAACTTATTCTTGCATGAGTACTTTTCACTCTTCTTTTCTAACTCCCCACTCACATTATTTCTAGCACTACTTTCGAAATAACACCTAGGCGTTATTGCTTACTTGCAGATGCTTACCAAAACAAAAATTTCAAAGATTAACTGACCTTGTCGGTAGATCCTTTGCTGTCCAAATTAAACCATGCTACAATTTCCCAAAAGAATGACCCTAGAATAGACAATCACTACCTTCAAAGCTATAAGCAGGAAAAACATAAAGGCATCTGCTGCCACCGAAGGAGTAAAACTGAGGAAACAGAACCGAACCTCAAGACCTAGGAGTGAGAGCACAAAAACAGGTTTCATCTGTTCGCACTATTGATGTTGGAAGACCGTAATGAGCTTGAGCGACTTGCAAGGTGACTTTCGACTGTCTTTGGGGCTTTCAAATTATTCGAAGTTTAGCCTATGTTATTTCTATATACGATTGCTAAACTCATTTGACGTTTTCACGGGGAGCTTTGCGAGAAATTTGAGGTTAGCTTGGAGAAGTGAAGTAACGCTTCTTAGTTGCTGCAGAAAATGTGTTGTATTATTTGTATTCCGCCCTGAGGTTTTTACTACAAAATTACTCTTAAGTGTGCCCAAAGGTTTAGCTAGCTGGGGAATCTTCAAGATAGATCGGATGGGATAAGTACAATTTCTCTTTAAAAAACCGATAGTTGACGTCGTTCATCAGTAAGTTGTCCAATATAATGCGAAAACCACCATTCAAACTCTTTAAACGCTAGCATTCAATTTTGTGAGGGATAAAATTTCATAAATAGTGAAAAGCAAAGGAAAATGGCCTCGAGGACGCATTCTTTTCTCTCGATCGACGATAACGCTGCCATTAAACAGCGTAGGCGACAGAAACTTTTGGGTCATTTCAGATAAGAGAATCACACAAGGTTTGTGACAAGAACTCCGATTATCATTTGGAAAACTCGAGATATGGCTGCGAAAACTTTTATTTGGCTCCTTTGTTTGGTGAGGGATTTAATTCCCTTAGTGTACTTCCGCATTTCGAAGCAAAGCAATCGCTGCATTATTTTTCTATTAACTGATAAAATCAGTCTAGAACCTCACACAAGTACATCTTCCCAAGTTTCCACACTTCACAGTAGTATACAAAGTACAGATGGATAGAAAAAGAGATATCAGATGAATACAATAAATGCCAACAAACCTCAAAATTGATATCAAATGAGGAAAAGTTGTGCGAGGGAATAAACAGTTCGGAGATAACGATTAGTGTAAATATTCAAGCTTCAGATGTCAAACAGTGAATACATCTCCACAAATCCGACCGATTTCCAGCCATATCACCAAGAGTCAGTCCTCAACCACTGATTCGTTTTGTTTCGAAGACCCCAGCCAGGTAGTCTACGTCTTTCAACATGGCTCAGACCAACAGCATGAGACTTCCTGGACCGGTGTCACGTCTAGGTCTGTCCACCCTGAACTATCTTCCAACCTAATCCAGCCCCATCTCGCATGACACGTCAAGGTAGGCGGTGGCTCGGCATGCGCAGTAATGTCCAAGCTATCTCAGTTGCTTTATCAATCGACTTGTCTGTCTTGCTTAGTACCCTTCACCTGACTTCAGCATTGTCACCACGCTGATCCCACTAAACGTTACCAATGGTAAGAAGACAACTGTGGTCATGTTTTCTACCTTTAAAGTCATGTCTCACACCCATATATTAGGACAGAATGGACTGCAGCACATTATACTCGTCCTGTGATAGGTGGCCGGATACCTCGCCAATTTGAACCACTGGTGACGCAAGTTAGTGAACTACATACAGGTCTTCAGTATCCCAACTGACATTTCGTCAACAACATACCCATTTGGGCTGATGCAACCCGCCAAGTAAGTGAAGCGGTCGACATATTCCACCGCTTCACTTCCGATCCTTAAAAGAGTTGTTGCGGACCAGTCATAAAGTATCATCTTTTACTTGACAAGTGCGAATCGCATGCCAACCATAGTCAGGTTTCTGCTCAACGCATTCAGAAGACACTGGATTTTGTCATCGTCTTGACGTAGCAGGACAATGCCGTCTGTGTACTCCAAGGAGTTGGTCGATCCCTAGGGTTACGTCCATTAGTATGACTATAATGAAGTTAAATAGGAACGGCAACAGTCAGCATCCTTGGCGAGCATCGCTATTTGTCTTCAATTCAGATGACAGCTCTCCATAATCCCCTACACAGCTGGGTGAGCTAGAGTAGAAAGCTTTGATAAGCATTATGTACTTGCTTAGGAGTCCCATCAGTCAAACACTGCCACAATATCTGACGGTTGACTGAGTCAAATGCTGCCTTTAGGTTAGGAAATATGTCGAATGTCGGTCGCCTGTGTTTTATTAGGTTTGAACAATGCATATTTTTTACATTGTTAACGTCGGCAGTCAACCGTTAACTTTTGAAGACTGTAATGATCTGAACTTTCTAGTCATTGTCACAGTTCTCATTTTTCGACAAAAAATTCGGAATTTTTTCAAAAATCGCATAATTTTAAATACAATTCCTAATTCTTTATGTCACACAAAGTCAGTAAATAGTCCACTTGCTTTTGATCGATCATTCCAGGAATACTAGTTTTTCGTTTCTAAGATTTCGTGCTACTTTGTTGTATGTGCCTGAAAAAACAGTCACAGGATTCATGGAAATGTGTGATATAATGGTAAATCCTATTAATCTTTCGCGATTCGGACTTACTGTTGTATCTCACTTTTAACAGCATTTTCTCCTTAGCAACCATCATATGAAAGCTGGCAAGGGGTATCACGTTTGAGCAGGAACTACTTTAATCTTTACTTTTCCCTACACCTACCGTCTACTTAGATCCATTTCCTCTACTTCACTTATTTCACTACATATATGACGGTCTTTTTTCTTAATGATTAGTTATAGTAAACATAATTTTGGTTTCCATGTGTCGCGTTTTAGCTGAAGTAACTTTATCACTTTTCTCGTTGGCTTACAATAAAGAATGGTCACCTATCTACAAATTAAACTTCCCTCCTTAAAATCAACCATGTTTTCCACATTGTGTAGAAGCGGATAACCAGTGAACTGTATTTAAATCTCTTCCCTCACTCAAAATATGATACAAAATCACCTGACTTACCTTCTACCTGCTCTGTCCTAGTAGATCTATCATGTACTAACTACATTTACGAAATGCTACACACAATCTGATTGAATACTTGCGATTCAAGCAGTGATTAATATTGATTTCGTGCAAGAAATAAATTGGGTTTAATAATAACACCAGATACTGCTATATTTGTGCCATGATCTTGATGATCAGTGAAATTTCACAATTTCTCATAAGAGTAAAATGCTCAAAATCACCAAACATTTTGCTCACCATCATTAAGCTAAAAATATACAAAATGACTTTTAGCTATAATCTCATATTTCTCGCACGAAGGGTATCCTTGGAAATGATTGTTTCTACTGTAGATCAACTGAAAAAAAAGCTGCAGGTAGTAGATCACTTGGTAAAGAGCCGTTGCATGTTAACGTATATTTTATAACGTGTAAGTGAAAAACCACGTAATTCCTTATTTTGAAGTTGCCAAAATACCAAAACAGTTTATCGTGAACCATCTGTCACGAATATGTATCAGAAAATATTCGAAGGCAGGAATTAACAATTTGTCTTGAAATCATTCCTAGCTTAAAGCTTTAATGTCACAAGGAGACTTCTTAAGTATCAGCTACTGGGGAATTCGACTTTGAGTGATATATATTGACCAAGATCCCAAGTTCAGAGAGTGATATAATAGACCACTTCAGAGGATTTCCACAATAAGTGAATAACAACAGTTATTGATGGATACCAAAGTGACATGTTTATCGTTTCATAATTATGAGTAGTACATTTTGCTAAACTGTATTCAAATGGAGTGGACTAAGTGAGCACTTTCATTTATAAATCACATCCATTACATTTCTACTATCACTGTTACAAAGCATATCCCCAATGACACAAATATTAAAGCTAGTAAAACATGTGACTATTTTCGCAAATCATTAGTAGGAAAACGCTGCTACGTGGAGGACAATATGTACTCTAAAAACTAAGTGGACGATGAACAAACGTAAAATGACCGATTCACATGTCGATATGGGTTATTTAGTGTTCGATTTTTACATCATGTGCTGAAAATCTTACCATCGGCAACATATAAGCTTCATTAGAACTGTGTGCCAGTTGGACCATCATAACTTTTTTAGAAGCATGGGTACGATTTTCGGACTCTGCCTCTTGTTAATCTCGTGAAACGCTAAGGAAAGGTTTTCAAAAACCATTCAGTAACAATCAATAATATTTTATTCTTAACTGTTGTGATAAAACCTGAACTTTACCAAACGTATAATTTAGGTTTCTTAAACTTTTACTCTATTCACAGACTACATGCTGTGGTCACCATGGTTAGTTTGCAAATAAAGGAGGAACGAACTTACCGCCTGCGGCTTTCAACTCGGAGTGAGATAGCCCAAGGATGTTTAATTAAAGAATATCACTTTGACTGCAGTTTGGTCACATTTTTCAAAGAAATACACTTCACCAACTCGTATTCAAAACGTGTTTCAGCCCAACTATGCTATCTAGATAACGTAAGCTATTTTCAACGAATGTAACGGATGCTTATTTCCTAGGATACAGAGGAGCCCATATGGGTGGAACTTTTCGAATTGGAGTTGATGAAGGATCCTCACTCTTCTTCCGGTTCGTGTACCGACATCAAAATATCACTGCCTCCAACGTTTGTCACTGTGAAATCCCAGACACGTCTACTCAAGTTATGTTTATTATTGCAGCAACCGTCCCCAATATGGAAAGAATTCACAATAACAAATGTGAAATTGTTCGACGAGTATTTAAATAAAGCAAATCAAGAGAAAACAGGGACTAGTAAAGGCACCGACACCTGTCAAGTGAATGACGCACAAGATACCCTTGTAACACTTTGCAGTTTTATCCAGTATAAACAAGGAACGCGAAGTTTCGAGATGGCGAGCAAAACAGATATTTCATCTTTAGCTGATGGACACTTTGAAACCACTTGAACATAATTTCAAATCACAGTTCATACACTACACCGTCAAGAGGATATTGAAGTTGCCGAATCCCAGGGCTTAACGGAGTTCTCTTTAAAATGATAGGCTATTGCATAGCCTAGCATGGAGGTGAACTTTGAAATAAAGGAAAAAGGAGAGTTTTCGCAATGAAAACAGTATATTGATTTGCAATTAGAAACATACCTCATTAGAGCCGTACCTCTTAATCCTTTTTAGATACTAACTACTGCTACTAAAGCGAAACTTAAAATCAACCTTTTTATTATCCAGGATACACGTTACTGCACAAAAGGAGCAAAGGTATCAACTTAATATAGTGATAAAATAATGTCTTTCTGGAAAATAATACATCTTAGAACATGCTAACTTGTGAACATATTTCATAACAGAATAAAAACAGCTATGACTACTTAAAATGCAAAACCAACATTTACTAATGCGTCTTGTGAAAATTACCAGGAACTGTATGGTATAAGAAAAAATTGCTTCTCAGCGAACAAGAAAAACTTGAATTATGATGTTTTAAGGGATTTAACAAACTCAAACCTTCACCAATTGACGTGATGTGCACTTTCGTTTCGCAATCGCATGTCTTTATAAACTTTCTAAAATTATAAACGACAGGTAACTTTATAGTTAGTTTCCTGTCGAAACACGATGTCTTAACTATCGGCTACGATGGATAGTCAGATATCTGAGTGGTCCTAACAGTGACAAAGGTTAAACAACCCGTTCCTAAGCTTGCTAGAAACTCATAGGCTAAGACCTTCTAAAGCTGAATCAGCCTTTTAGGCAAGAAAATGTCCCGACCGTTTCGCTTCTTACTGTTTAGGGAGTATCGATCCTGACGTACCCTGAATAAAAAGTCTCCATTTCGGACGGTGACAGACGTACCCTAAACTTTTTCAAGTTGTCACGCAGTATTCACGATACTATTCATTTCCTCTTCTAGAAGATAAATCGATAATTGACACCAGCTAAGAGCAGTTATATCATACTGACACATAATAAATGTTGCCTCAGTAAGTTGATCCAGCAAACCCAGACTATTGAGGTACTCAAATGAAACTCGGTTTTCATATTGCTTTTAGCCTGCACAACTTTGGCAGAAGATTTGAGCTGTAGATTATCGTCCTTTTAATCCTGTAGATAGTGGATGAAAGTTGGTGCCAGCTAACGAAACTGTTTCCCAGTAACCTAAACATCTTTTTTCATGTCGGGTTAATTAATGAGTTTAAGTGAACATTGCTACTATCAACGCCACTTTTCTAGTCTTTATAGGCCTGGACGCTTTCTTAATGCAATTAAGTCATCATGTAGACTGTTTGTCAGTCTGCATTTAGGCGTCCTTCTTTTCTCAATATATCGTGAGTCTGCAGGAATGGATACATGCGCTCCCACTAAATTGACCCTTTCTATGGATCAGCTACAATATCTAGTTGTTTTTACAGCAAACTAAAAATGTGTTATAACGGCAACTAAACTGATATCCCATGATTGAACTAATAACAGCGAAACACCTGACTCTGGCCCAATTGTGCGATTCTGACATTCTGCACGTCTTAACATCTAAATATCCTTACACATGCTACGTTTTGCCCTTGCCTATGAGTAATCCATTGAAATGGATGCAAAACGCCTCATTTGCAATCCTTGCACTGTAAATTATATCGGTTCCTCCCACAACAGAAGGCCGCGACCAACGGCTCAAGACAATTATATATTTGCAATGAGTTATCCATATCTGCAAATGAATTATCTGTCAACGACGCACCAAATACCATAGGGATGAAATAACTGGCTTCATGCATAGAACATTATCCAATCATAGATTTAACACCTAATTATTCAGAAATATGAGTCGTACAGAGATGAGTAAAAAGGAAATACAATAATACTAAAAATGAATTTTAAAATGTGGGTATTAATGCTTAGCTGAGATTTCTGTTTTCATTTCTCCAGTTCGTTATAACACCTATCCGAAATAATGTAGGATTCGATAGTCTCTGGAGCCAGCACCTGCTGTTTTTGATTTTTCAGCAGTACTGATATCTCTTTTGAAATCTCTTACTTCTGTCTGCAGAGTTAACTCTAAGGGATAAACAAAAATCGTAGTCGTATTTCGTTTCTTTAGTAGCACTCTTAGATATTTGTCCCACTGTCAAACATAATAAAACAGAACTAGGATCAGAAAATTGTAAAGGTTGTGCTACGAAGTGAATTTTGGAGGGTACACAATGACTAATAACCTGTAACTGAGGCGAAAAAAGCTTTCGTCTCACAAACTAAAGGCATAGAATCTGTTGTCAGAGAATTAGAGTTGAAATCCGAATTGACCTGCAAACTACTGGCCACTAGTTAATCAGTTTCAACTATCTCATAAATGTGTGTAGGGTTCGCAACGGTAAATTGATCAGAGAAATTATCAATCATGGTATATTTCTTGACTTCAGCTTACAACTCGTGAACTGCACCTGTTCCCGCTTAAAGGATCCATTCAAAGCATTCAGCATAACTGTTATGTTTTTTGTAGAGACAATGATAACAGCCACTCTTCACTCATAAGTGGGATGACGCTAGTTCTTGCCTGTGTCAACAAGGAAGCGTACCTCAGAATGTCTGTGATGTAGAAGCGACAGAGAAGTGGTTCGCCGGCGACGTTGATGGCCGTCACATGCTGGCTCACGCATTTCCTGCCTGCTTAGCCTCACAGTTGCCTCCTATGGCCGAAGGTTCCTGTGTCGCAACAACCTTCTAGGAGGGGGATAACTTGTGATCCAGCTTCCTGGAATCAGAATGCAATTACAGCCAAAATAATTAGTTCAAATCTAATCAACTATTAGCTTAATAAACTTGCCTCTGGACGCTTAAATGGTTTTAAATTTTGTTTTGACGAGTATGCATCCGAGCACGCCTCTACACCATTTTGCACTCCTTTTGTGCTAGTTAGCACTCAGAGTCCCCAGCTCAGTCGTACTAGCCAGTAGAGGACAGCCTCACAGAGTGTTCCATTGCATGTTGGTCTCAAAATACTTTCCTGACCCTTGGACTTTTGTGACAATTACGTACAGCTAGTGCGTTTTGGAAGTTTTCAAGGTGGAGAAGGTACTCCCTTACCTTTTACTTAACCTCAGTAAACCTTAAATTTCAGATTACACCGATAGCAAAGGGTTCCATCTTCAATTTCGAACAACAAATAAAATAAACAGCTGGCACAATTTGGAGTATAATCATTCCAAAGAACGTCACTTGGATTCCGTACTAGTTGTGATCCGTTGGTGGTTTCCTGCTGCTGAAACCCTAAAGACTATTTTACATCGAAGTACCCAAGAAAAGAAGCAAGGCTTTAGAATCTAAGGGATTATTGCATGAAAACGGTCAGTCTGTCCAGGAGTTTTTAATTTTGATTTATTTGCAGTCTGTACGTTTAAACATTATATCGAAGGGACTTTGTAGAGCATGAGTATGCTACTTTTTGTGTCAACTGTTTCCGAACCTTCTTCCTGACAAAAGAAAAGCAGTATACCAGAGAATTCCTTGCTATTGTAAAACTCAGCAATTACGACTTTATTCTTGTACTCAAAGTGATTTCATAGGTCTTATATCCGGAGGTTATCTAATTTTGGTTTCATTCACCTCCACCCAACCATCTTGACATGCTAAGATCTCAAGGAGAAAACATTCTTGTAACTGCAGCTCAAAATTCAAAAAAGTACACAAGGGTAACAGCTGCAGCCACATCCCTGCGTGCAAACCGCTAAGAGCCTCTAAACAAATTGTCCAACAACCAATTCACTTTATAACTGGGATACTCTTTCAGTTTCTCAGCGATGCTTATTACATATGCAAGACGAGAAATGTAGAATGCTAGGAAATGACTTAATACCATGAACTCCACGAAGCAATCGTTGTGATAATACTTCGCCAGTATACACTGAATTTTTTCAAATGGTCCACTTCCGAGTGTCCTGAAAAAGTAAGAGATGTTTACTTCTACTTTAGATAGATAAGTGACAACAGCAAAAAGTCATTCTTTTTTGAATGATTCTTTCGTGTACCGGCACATACTTAAGTGTAGGAGAATAAAGCAACAACAAAAGTACACAATTATTTATTCACTTAAATCATTCTGCGAATCATTTCATTTATCTGCTCTTCACGAAGTGCAGTCAAAAAATCATTCCGAGCATGACATCTTCGTGAACCTGACATCCAATCTCGACTGGATGACATGAGTTTGAACGGGCATAAAAAGCGTTGAACAGCTTTGAAGTGCGGACCGATAGTCACAAGTTCATGAATTATATCTTCTAAACACAATATACCCCAGTGACCTTGTAAAATGCAGAAAAGGTTTTCCCAAATATGACATGAAATATTAAACATCTGACACAAATTTTAATAAATAATAGATAATTGATAAAAGTACAGGATTTTTACATCTGTAACTTTATGATCAATACATCAGTCACATCTATGAAGACATCTGCCACTATTCAGTAATACTCAACAATTACTTCAGCTTATTGAGGATGCTGGCAGAAAGAAAATCGCCACCGGAGAGGATGAGTCCCTGATATCCTCTCAGGACAGGTGGCTAGAGCTTTGGGTAGAACACTGAAGAACAGTTTAACAGGTGAACACTTAAGGTTATTGCCTAACATCTAGCCCGAACATGAATGGAATGTAGATGTCAGTTCTGCAAACTCTTATGAAATCTGAAAAAGTTGTTTCAAAACAGCAGAAGCTGACAGCTTGCCACTAGAGGATTTTAAAAATGAAGGGAGGGAATTACCTGATAACTGAACTGCTAGATGGTGTATGGGAATCAGAAATCTCGACAGACTGGTCTTTATCATTGATAATTCTAGTTTACAAAAGAAGAGCTGTTTTATGATAACCATGAGGGAGCCGGTTTTACACGGTATCCAAGATCTTACGGTTCATAGATATCCTACGTCTAACTGGAGCTGGAGAAAATCAAATAGACCTCAAACCTTGACGAGGGTGCACAGATCACATCCTCACTCTTCATCAGGTTCTGTGGAAAAAGGGCATACTCACTGACGGCCGATATTTATCATTTTTCTTGACCTGAGTCGACATCCGACTTGATCAACTGAGAGGTGTAGTAGCGGTGTCTAGCTGTAAAAGGAGTACCGAGTGAGTACATAACGTTAATCAAAGCTCTTCGTCCAGACGTTTGCAGCCGTCTCCAGTTTAATGAGGAATTGTAATCGGAAATGACGACACCCAGGTGTCTGCCAGGGACGACCCTTGTCACTGTTGTTGTTTAGTTACGTTTTAGGCATAATAATAGATATAACCCTAGGTAAATCTAACATTTAAGGGATTGACTGACTCCCTGGAGGGCACCTGGCTGATTTGAGGTTTGCAGACGATTTTGTTCTCTTAGGCGACTCCATGTGTATGATCAAATTATGTTAGCCTATCCTGCATCTGTGTAGATTGTTGTTCCTGGTTTTGAGCATATTTCTTGCTGTTAAGCAACATGATCCCCGTACTCTATAGTTCGCTAATTGAATACACTTTTCGGATGGGAATTTTAATATTCAAATACATATCCAACAAGTGAACCTTTTATCGCTTTTCCTAAGCTCCATATTTCCATTACTTCAGTTATCCTCCCGAACTACATCCATCCATTGATAAAATTTCGAATGGAAACTGAACATATATGAAAGCTTAAAGTCTGATTGAGCATTAAGAAAACAAATATTGTGAAATATCATTCCACAGTTTCTCCAAAACTGCACAACCACTGAAATTATTAACAAATAATAAATTATTCGTCAATATTTTGTAGCTATATCAGATAGACCAGGAAGATGCTTGGTTGACTGGGAGTATGCAGGCGACATTGTCATGCTAGGGGGGAGACGTTGACAAAGTGAAAATCTTCTGAATGCCTTGAGTGAAAACCTGAGCATATTTGACACCTGTCAAATGAAAGATGATGCTTCAAGACTGCTCAGCAGCTACCCCCAGTTTAAGGATAGGGAGAGAAGGGTTGAAATGTGTTGACCACTTTACTTTGGAACAGGCTGGTTACCGACAAGATCTCAGCTTGGGTAAAAAAAAAAGCGTCTGGCATTTGTCACCTTGCATTATACAGATGGCACCGGTGAGATATCCGACTACATATCAAAGGACGAGTATGTAACATTGCAATCCACTCTGTTTTATTATATCACTGAGATATGGTTGTTCAGGGTAGATATGAAAAGATTGCAGGTTTGCGATGATAGATATCTTCGTTGTATTACTCACTTATGTTGGAATCACTATGTAAGGAATGTCGAATTTAGGTGAACGGTAATAAGTAAATCAGTCGATGAGGTTGTGAACTTTCATCGATTGAGGTAATTTGGACACATGCTACGCATGTGTTGAGATGCAGTGTTAGCCGGTGTAGGATCCGGCTGGGAGAAGATTCAGGGTGGTTAGACTAAGACGCGTTAGTAGTTCGTGAGCTCTGTATAGAGATGTAAACTGTGAGGACGGGGTCCTCAACATGATGTGGATCAATGGTTAGGGACTTGGTAAAGTAATTTAAAGTTGGTCACAATCGCGACTTTAATTGTTTTCAGCAACCTGGTGCACAGTCGTGCAATAATCGATAAGCCACACCTATTGTGTGATTGCTAATGATATTAACTAGCTATCCAAACCTCGGAAGGTGTTCGAACACGTGAACCAATGGCTGGTTTAACTACCTAAGCTAACAAGCCACAACTTCTATAGCAGCGACGCAGATGCACTCACCCTCTAACATCTTTTTAGATCTAACCATTCTTACTAACCTTGATTTTTGAACTCCCTCTCCTTCAACACACTCCTATCTACTTTGATATTACTCTTTTCCTATCCATTTTTTCTTCACATGCTGTTGCCAAGTGCGGCAAACTGAACTGATGCACTTTTGTGAGGTTCCACATTGATTTTATCCATCCGTTTGCTATTTTTTTATATGGCTCTGAACCATAACCACTAAAGGTGGATGGCCACGGTCACCTTCAAAGCACAAACCGTTTTTCTGAGTCACCACGTTAGCAATGAAGACGTTAAGAATAGAGGTCAGTGGTGAAAGTAAGTCAGTTGCAGAGGTTGTGAACCTTCATCAGTTCCAGTGGTACAGATATGTTACACATGCACATTCACCGTCTGCCCACTCGTACAATATTAAATATGTTCAAGTTGGAAAAATGTTACACGTGGTCAGACTAAAAAATGACAGTTTATTTAGTCTCTAAATGTTGGTCTGAGCTGTATGTAGAAATGCTGACTTCACATAAAGTGTCGGCGCGACAACTAAGATAGATATTTAGAGATTGTAGGGGATTTGGCTGAGTCAATCTAAGTGATGCAGATACATCCACACTATCCTAATCGTCATCGCGAATTTCATTACTGTTTTCATTCACCCACTGCATTAAGTTGCAAGAAAAAAATGACATCTGCTTAGTTTCATTTCAAAGTTTGAAAGCAATTATCACTCAAGCTACCCGGTCGGTAAACTCCCAACATACATCTTATAAAAACTTCAGGCTATTTATTCAAACAACTGCATCGTTGCTAAAATAGCCTATGTAGAGAAGAATGAAGCTGTACACTACACGTGATAGTATCTTGCTTTTTTATAGACATAAATGGAGTCAGCTGCTTCAACTAGACGAAGTCGCTTTAAGTCTTCAAACATACTTTTAATGTACAGTATATATCACTTCAGTTCACACATTAAATGTGTGGGGGTAGAAGATTCACACACCAACCCAATACTACATTTTGGTAATGCCAGCACTTTTAACGTTTAGGGACGACTCCCCTAGTGTTCGCGGGTGCTCCATGCCTTCAACATATAGCGGTTCTCAAATTAACGTTAATCTGCAGTAAATCTACACACAAATCAGTCAATCCCCCACACCGTTGCAAATTGGGTACACGTTTGTTTGTGAAAAAAAGGGTGCACAACAGAAGTGATGAATGGCAAAACTATTATTATTAGCTTATAAAATGTCCACATGAAATATTACGGTTAAAAGATTAAAGGCCATAGACCATCTTTACGACTCATTATGAAGATAATCCATGTATCAGAATCACTAGAAAGCCATAGACGAAATGAAGAGTCTATTTAAACGTACAGATATCAGGCACGCCTTTGTCTCGTAGAATTGAGTAAGTTATGTTAGTCTTTTCCAAGTCACCGTTCAGAGTAGTCTGAAGCGTGCGATGTCACAAGAATGTTTTTAGGATGTTCGTTGATATGCATATCTACTAGTAAACTGCCGGCTAATTTGTGGCGTTGAGGTTCTAGAAGCTCCAGCCTGTAAGGCTGGAAAAGTAAAATGATCTTACACCTTTCAGATTACTTTGTTTTCAACGAAAACGGTCTGCAATGTGAGAATGGTATTCCTTTTTTGTGCCGTAAAATGTGTGACGAATAATAATAAATGCCATTTGGCAAATTTACCTGCTAAAATTCGTTTACGGTGTTTACCCACAATTTAATGACAGTAACATCGTGTTCCATCTGTATCTCAAAGGATCATATTAGTAGCTGTACAACGTTTAACACTAGTCAAACTCTTCAAATCGAACTAAACATTTTCCTTTGAAGTTTGAGGAAGTATTAACGCCCAAGGAACAGATAGAAATAGTCCGTGACCAACCTGCATGGAACTATCCTGAGTCAGTCAACATTACGACGAAATAAGATGAACACCACTATCAAACTGATCATGAGCATCTAGTGGTTCACTAACTCTGTTATTCCGAATAGTATAGTTGTCAAATTCTCGAGGAAGACAGAGAGAAAAACAAATAAATCAACGTAGAACCTTGCACACAAGTGCATCGGCTTAAATTTTCACAGTAGTATACAAAGTACAGATGGATAGAAAAAGAGATATCAGATGAATACAATAAATGCCAACAAACCTCAAAATTGATATCAAATGAGGAAAAGTTGTGCGAGGGAATAAACAGTTCGGAGATAACGATTAGTGTAAATATTCAAGCTTCAGATGTCAAACAGTGAATACATCTCCACAAATCCGACCGATTTCCAGCCATATCACCAAGAGTCAGTCCTCAACCACTGATTCGTTTTGTTTCGAAGACCCCAGCCAGGTAGTCTACGTCTTTCAACATGGCTCAGACCAACAGCATGAGACTTCCTGGACCGGTGTCACGTCTAGGTCTGTCCACCCTGAACTATCTTCCAACCTAATCCAGCCCCATCTCGCATGACACGTCAAGGTAGGCGGTGGCTCGGCATGCGCAGTAATGTCCAAGCTATCTCAGTTGCTTTATCAATCGACTTGTCTGTCTTGCTTAGTACCCTTCACCTGACTTCAGCATTGTCACCACGCTGATCCCACTAAACGTTACCAATGGTACGAAGACATCTGTGATCAAAACCTTGTAGCAGCTTCACGTCTTATGTCATTAACGGTCATGTTACACAGCCATATAACAGGACAGAACGGACTGTGGCACAGTACACAAGTTTTTTAATAGACTGCCAAATGTCTTCCCAGTGGGTGTCACAGTTGCCAAATGCCAGACGAGCCTTCTGTATCTGACCTGAGATTTCGTCCGCAGCCACCTCATTCAGGCCAAAACAACTCCGTAAGTAAGTGAAGCGGTCGACACATTCCATGATTTCACTATCTATCATTAAACTAAAACTAGGATTAATTGTAGACTAGTCCTGCAACGTTATCTGACACCTGACAAGTGTCGAAAGCGTGCCAGACATACTCATGTTTCTGCTCAACCGATGGGGCCTTCACTTAAGCCTAAAATGCATCCGTCTTTTATCAATAACTTCTGGGAGACACTGGATTCAATATGAACTACAGTGATAAAGAATCACATTCAAACAAAACTTACCCAATTTTTCTTCTATTATCTTGTTGTCTATCGAGTGTTTATGCCTTCCAAGCATTGTGCGCCCACGCTTCATGATCATATCACGTACGACCTGTAACGATGGATAACCCCAGGCTATATAAGGTGAGACAATATTCAGAAGATCCAGAGTTGCCTAAGAACACATCTGGTAGTTGCAGAAATGTACGTACTTTGGTGATTTTAATGAAAACAGCTTGATTGAAGGTGTCAAGACGTAGAAGGCGAAATACATCTTTGCAAATATCAGAAATCTGCTCTTCTCGCTCTGTTAGTCGTATAACAACACCCAACCTTGGACGGTCAGTTACTAATATAGGAGCTTTTCGTTTTGCAAGCCGGTGTAAACGTAGTTCATCATGTGCTCGTTTCAGACTTGTCTAAAGAAAATAAAAGTTTCATGCAATGATTCTAACTCTAATGAAATGGATAGGTGGTCGAACACGGCTTCTTCGTCGTTTAGCTCGCTTACGTATCTCTTCAGAACGTGCTCTCTGCTGTTTGATTATGTCCTTGCTAACTCTTTTTCTCCTCTTAAGAAGAGTCACAGGAACTGTGTTCAGTTTAATAGGGTTGTTGTCGTCCCTAAAGCCGAAATGAAATCAAAACCGTCTTACATGGTTGGTGCCCGAAACTTTTGAACAAGCCACGGTTAGAATGTACAAACTTCAAACGTCATGTTGTAGAGTTAGTGAACGACAGCTCATTGGGTTCTACGTCTATCTTATTGGAGTATACTGTGGGGTTAGAACGGTCACAGTTGTTTCCCTGGTTCCGAAAAACTTGAAAGTATAGCGATAATAGACTACTGATTAATCTGATCCCGGGTGGTATTACTGCACCTGATCTCCAATATCCAATATCTTTTAACGAGCTGGTGTAAACCAATTGATTCCTTCGCTCTCGCTTCTAGGTCTTGCGGAACGGTTCCAGGTCTTTGGTGGATTCCAATGCAGTAGGTCTACCCACTCAGCTGCTGTAGCTCTGGTTAGCCCGACTGGCGGTTGCGTGTTGGTTAGATGACGGAAAGCTTGTCGAAACTCAAGATGTGGGTCTAACCTCTTTCTGAGAGCGTCAGGGTTATGGGGCTGTTGCAAATGCAGTTTACAAGCTGTAACCGCAAGTCTGAAGTTTGAAACGAGTTAATGGTTCAAATGGTTGTAGACGTAATATAAGAAGCTTTCGTATAACTGTGGTTTTTAGCCTGTTGTACAAGTAAAGAAAGGTGAAAAGGCGGCGATTAAAGTGTGAAGATTCACTTAGATCTGGACAGATCCCAAACACATCAAGTGGGCATCTGTAGCGTCACACACTTCCCCAAAATCAATAGCCTAGGGTTTGACGACATTCAACATTGGTGCTGACCTTGATAGTTTAACTGGACTCGCTAAGCTGAAGGCATGCAGTCAAGCATCCTCGCCATTTGGCACGCTGTCGTGTTACGTTGCAATGCTCGTAATCGACTCTCTAGCCAGTTAGTTGGGACGCATCGGTATCTTGGCACAACCATCCAAATATACCATTCCATCCGACTACTCTATGGTGTTCTTCCTTGTCCTCGTATTCGTAGGTATATAACAAGTCCGAATGACTGGTGATTGGCTTTTGCGTCTGTCGGGTTCGCACCAGGACAATTCCTAAATATCTGGAAGGCATTCAAAAGATTAAGACGAATGAGCCTGAATCACGTCTTCAGGATGAGCGTTACAGGGTTTAACAGCTCTTAGGGAATATAAGTTGTGCCTGACGTCCAGTCTGCTATGTTCCATGCTTAGTTTCTGCGCATATCCTCTGAGATCAGAGCTGCAGCTATGATTTAATAAGCGACGGAGTGGGTGGTCAGGCGTGCTCAGAATGTTGTAAGTCATTATCAAGTCACCTCTTAGCCTTCTGTATTCCAGAGGATACAGGTCCAGCGCAACCAGCTGTTCTTCGTATGTTTTGGACCTAATTCCTTGAACAGATTCTGTCGAGCGCCTCTGGATGCGTTCTAAGCTAGGCATGGATCTCTCTCTCATGCTGTATTCTTAACGGGTGACTCCTCAGGTGGCATTTCCGACTAAAGCTAAGAAGGGATCTGTTAGGATGAGAGGGATTATGGGTGGTGTGGCACATCATTATCATGTCCCCTCTGATCCTACAGTGTTGTACTGGATGTAGCTTAAGAGCAACTGAGCGGTCTGGGTAAGTTTTGTGCAGCAACCCAATTACTTTCTTTGTACTTATTATGGAATGGCTGTATCCTCCCTCAGGTATGAGGACATCACAAGCTAACGTTTCCCTAAATGAGGCCGGATGTACACGGCAAACTTTGTGGTGAAATGAAGGGTTAGACTCCTTAAAGTTCGCTAAAGAAACTTCAAGACTCCACAGGCCTTCTCGGCTGCAAGGCGACAGTGGGCTAAAGCCCTTAGTGTGTAGCTTAATGTAACTCCTTGGTCTTGTTCCGTGTGACAGTGACCGATATTTATTTCACCCAGGGGCCTGAGGCTTCTTTTATGTTTGCAAACCATCAACATCCGACGCTTCGAGCTTAGAGGAGGCAGGTTTTCTGTGGTCCAATTTAAAGTTTTCATAAGGTCCTCCCGGCAGACAGAAATATCCGTTGGCGCCCGCGTTGCCCTCCAAATCTTTAGATCATTGACCCTTAATAGCGAATGAAAAATGAGGGCTATTTGGGCACCCTTGCGACTTGTCCAAACACCCAGTTTATCTAGTATCTTTTTATCGAACTTCTGCATACACGGAGATTTCTTCTCGCTAGACTCTGGGTTTTTACGGATGGTTCAGAGTCTCTGGTGGGTTCTGAAACAGAAAGTCCAGCCGCCCACTTTATGTTTCTAGCATTAAGCAGGCGGATGGTTTGTTGCTCCTTAAATTTGTAGAAAAGTGTGTGATTTGTCTTCGCACAGTGATACAGACTGGATCTGGGAACTTTATGCTACAGAGGGGCTTTTAGGCTGGCCTCGGCTGCGAAATAAGAGGATCCATGTCACAACCCCGGAGGGTATAGGAGAGACGAAATAAAAGCAGATGAAGAGAAAGTTAAGATACTGGACCGCGGAAAAGAAAGTGGTGTGCCGAGCTAGGATGAATGCACCTGTGGAAGAGACAGTAGGAGATAAGGAAGTGGCAGGAAAAATTGTGGTTCAGACGATGGAAGTTTCAGTTATGATGGTATTAACAACGAATCGATTAATGGAGGAGTGAGACGTTCAGTACCTGAGGGAAATAAGCAGGTGGTCATAGAAGTGGAGAAGACCGTTTCATGTCTACATTAATAACGGTAAAGTACGCCACTGGCATGAGGGTAACAGGAAATGCTAGACTGATGTAACCGCGACTGGTTATTCTGCTGAAACCGTCTCTCCACTGGATAAATACGATTCACGTATTGCTGAGTAGCTGTTCATTGTATTATTGAAGCTACCGACAAATGAAGTGGTGGTTACCCCAGTGTACATTGCGCTGCAGTGGCTTCAGAATAACGATTTTTGATTAGACGTGAGTTTCCGCCTTCTGTTCGACGATTCTGTTTGGGTTACCGCGACGAGCGCTCTAATGATTATCTGGTGATATCTGTTGGAATGGCATAGATTGGTGAGTATGCTACAAGCCTTTATCTAGTCACCAAATAGCCTATTTTAACCAAGATTATAATCTCCTGGATACATAGGGCTATTCAAATGATGTTTTATCTGCACCCTCGAAGTCCTCTCTTCGGCTTGCCTCTGGAATGTCTGTAGCAGGTTCGTGTCTTTTCTCAAGTGTCATCTTGACGTCACAAACCTCCAGATGGTATCGCATATAGGTTTCATAGGGTTTGAGAGAGAAATTTAGCATGAAGGCGTCTGGTTACCTGTGCAGAAGGTATAGCACCTGGTAGGCTGTTCATAGGTCCATCAAACAATCCAAGTTCCCGGTTTAGATTAGATGGAGAACTTTCCCGAGAGTGTGAGGTGGGTGTGGACCACGTACAGACAGCAATACCTTCTCTGTGGATCAGAAGTGTTGAAGACGTCGTCAAACACTCACGTTGGTTAAGCGCTATTTCATTTTGACTTGCTGTTTGAGCGTTTTTAAGCTGCCTCATAGTACGTTCTAGACTTTCCCGGGATTCAGGTGAAGTTGGATGTTTTTAGGGCTAAGAAGCGCATCATAAGTTGCCTCTCAGGTTTCTTGAAGCAGACTGAAACCTCCCGAAAGACAGCACAATCATGCACCGCCGGTCAAAAAATTTGAGGAAAAGCATCTATCTGTATACGCGAGCTCTAGATTAGCCACATGCGTGTATGGAAAGGCCCCCAAAACATCAAGGTAGCTAGAAACATAAAAATATCACATCTTGAATACTTTTAACCTGAAGAAAACCTCCGTCCCACTGTCGCCCTACTCTGTTTTCAGGAAACCCAGTGTCCCCTATAGGTGGGACCTAAAGATCTCACTGGAAAGTTCACGCCTGTTTCGGCTGCTGACCTCATGCAAGTTACCGCCCGAGGGATATTTTGAGGGGCCATACCCTAGATAGTTTCTCTTACCAGTAACCAGAGGTGGTCGGCCGACGACAAGCATCACATATGAGGCCACATTTCTGTTATAGGACATTGCAGCGTAGTTTACCCTGTTGTGGCAGAGACACGTAAAGAAGCATTCCGGTGACTTCTGTTCGCTGTTCATGAGATCCAGTAATGATAAGGCATTACCGCTGTGACTAAGAGGGGTTGGAACCTATATGTTCCGCACCATTAGTTAGCTGTTACCGGGACGATAGCAGCGTCTCAGTGTCTTTCCGTTTGGTCTTAGGTGAGTACCACTGAATGTCTTCTCGCCGAGCCTAGTATTTTTGATGACAGATATGACTGAATGCCAAGCCCAACATGTCACTTTTCCACCCTAACCTGGTAGTCGGGGTGTTGAAATCATGAAAACCTGGCCCTAACCCACACTCGACTCTTTATAGGCTAGTGGGACTGGCCGTTGCCTGTTTCCCCTCACAGGTAGACTACCACCACTAGGTAGTTGGTGGGCCCGATCGTTAAGTGGCATCAAACTGAGACTGAAAGCCTGTCACTATAGCACGAATAGCCCGTTCACTTCTCGACTGGTCGCTCGCATCTGCTGATACCTTCCCCCACACCTCGTGGTGCTTCCTACACAGCCCCAACAAAAACACACAATTTGTAACTGTCTCAATTTAGTTTATGCCGGGTGACGGCCAATTATCTGTTAGGGTTAGAATTTTCGGGGCAAAGTGGAAACAAAAGGATTGCAAGAATAAAATCTTCTGTACCATTCAGGACTACTCAAACGTTGTAGATTTCTCGAATACTATCAGTTTGGTGGTACCTGCAAACCGGCTTTCATGTGTAAAATTCATAATACGAGAACGCAATGACTGAAAAATCTTATACATGAGCAACCTCGTGTCTCTGTGGAGGAACTTAGTTGCATTCTGACTGCGGGACTTTCCTGTAGTTGATGACGGTAGCGGGTCAACTGCAGTACTAGGAGATTTTTTTGTTTTTCTCTCAATCCCGGCGTAACTGGCCTGCTTGGGGCTCTTCTTGAGACAGTTTGCATTGTCACCGTGAGATCCAGGCCACCAGTCTTTCACTCACTTGCTGGCACGCAGTAGTGCTATCTTCAACACAACTGTGTGCGGCTGTTTTTGTTGTCTCATAGTTCCATGCCTACTTTCGCAACAAGTAACACCGCCGCTTATGGTGTTTTAAACTTCGTGCCATGTCTTCAGATCTCTGCCTGAGAGCTCTGGATATCCGAAGTGCAAACGTGCCCGGCGTAATAAGCGAGGGGGTCTGCACATCACTGTGTATGCTATCTCAGTCAGTTTCATTCATGCACGCCACAGTTGCCATTTCTCTATATCAAAGGTAACATTTGCCGGAAGGTCTTGGATATAGCGAGTGGCCATAACAATAGATGTTTCTGGAGGGAGCGCCTCGATGAACCTTTATCAGCACATTGGACCCACCAGGTTATACTCGATTGATACCTAGTTTGTTGGGAAGCACGAGGAACTTTATGGCTTCCTTTTTCCCACCTATCTGGAAGTTTCTCCCCGAAAGTGATTGAGTGCCGTTGCATAGCAAGGAAATTTTCTCCCCAAGGCCAGCCAACCCTACAGTACAGCGTACAACATATCATTTCTGTTTTTCAAATACTTCTGTTTGTTCAAGCAGGTTGTCACTGCTTAAAAGAATATTTAATAAAGCTAAAGGAGTTAAGTCGACACCCCACGTTCGTATTGCCATACGCTACGGCTGCGATAGCACGAGGAGCTCTTATGGTGGTCAGCAGCCGTTCCAGCTCGACTGCTTTCAGGATGGGCGGCTGACGTGGTCGACTCCTGAGTTGGCAGATGCTCAAGCATTTTTGAGCTTCTTACCTCTGTGATTATTCATGGAAGGTCTCTGTATATCCCGCAGCAGGACTGCCCATCATGCTAGTAACAAAAAAAGAACTTTTGTCCCTTAGCAACGACCACTAAAGACGATGACATTACACCCAGGAAGGCCCATGAAATATAGGCTGGTGCATGACGGTGATCCTGGAACACTTTCGTGGGGACTCCCCTGTCCTCGGGGGATGTTCCCACCCAATGCAAACATTGCATCCGAAGTTTGCATTATGCCTGGTTACATCATGACCATACATAAGACAATCGTCAGCTAGGTCACCGTGTCTCAAAGAGTGCTCTTCCCCTACTTTGTCTTCCCTACTTGGGAGACGTTTCAGGTGGGCTTATGCTGGTACCAAATGTGCCAGTAGGGTCCGTGTTTGTTCGCTGACTAACTCTATAGGATGTTCAGGTTTTTTAGGAGTTGAGGGTTGAAGTATACTAGGGATAGACGCAGCCCAAGTTACTATCAATCAAGAGATTTTACTGACCGTGCGGAAGCAAAGCTGAAAGTACTTTCATGAGGGGACTTCACCAGAGGAAGTATGAAATTTTGCCTGATTCCGTGACCAAGTCTGATCAACAATGAACAGGTGGGGGAGCAATTGACGTAGATAAGGTGATCAAAAGTGAACAGAGTGACTGACTGGTTGTAAACCTTGCATTCAAGTGCTTAGTTCTGTCACACTGAATAGTTCCAACTGCCAATCGCTAGTACCGGCTTCGTGAGGGGAAGAAATTAAATTCTCTGGGGGCAGCAAGAGGAGTTATATTGTAAGAGCAAAACTTGGGCACTGTGATAGATTGTGTCTTCATTTTAGTCAGCTGACCAGGACTGTCACACAGTGAAACAGTATTGCTGACTGGATAACATTTTGGACTTAAATTGTCGTCCACATTCGTACCAAGTCAGTAGAAGAATGTGGACAGTGAGGCATGTCTGAAAAGTTATTTGGTAGATTGCACCATTTCATTGCATGACCGCTCTATCAAACGGACTGGGCATGGGATGAGCTAAAGTAGCTGACATGAAGAGATATATGTTCCTCCGATTGACCGCTACAAAACTGTTGAGCCGGGAGGCGGAAATCCAGAACACATAAGAAAAACTGCTTCTTCTGCAGTGAAACTTTGGAGCGGCAAAGTGCTTCTGTGTTCTAGGGCCATGCACATGAGCATTTATTTCATATCAAAGCTTCGAGTTGAAGAAGCGGCGACCGAAAAATTCTCTACGTTTTGTTCTACGGAATTAGAACCGAATATCAGGTTTTGCTCCTGTCCCGACGTTAGCCTCCTTAAGCTCTGAGCCACCAAAAATTCTCCCTAGATATTCCGCCGCAGACTTCCCACTTTTACCTCGTCTTATTCTGTAAAATATGTCTTTTGAGTGTTACATGTAGTCTGAGGCATTTTAAAATGTTTTTCAACTTCCTATCTTACGTGCCAAGGATTGCGTGAAGAGGAAGCGCCACGGTGGGCAGCGGTGCACGTCTGAGTGCACAAGATTACGTCATAATACCAAAGCTCTTAGCTTGATTTCCGGGGTATTCACACTAATTAACTGAGCCACCATTGCCGAATTCGAGCACTTTTTCATCCATTCTGCAGCACGATAGCTCCACATCAGCCGTTCACTTCATATCATTTCCTGTAGTACTGTTATTGACAGTGGTACTGACATTCTAAAATTATTTCACTCCACTACAGGGTGCAGGAAGTAAATCTTTTGAAATTTAATTTGCTGGGAGTCTCACAATATATTTGGAGTATTGTCTGGAACGAATAGGTTATTATTATCATGGCAAATAAATACAAGGGATGAACAGTCTCCAGATATCACTGTAGTTGCATCTCATCGAGGATTTTCCACAAGTGTCTTTCACATGAGATATCGCCACCCCCAGTTTCATGGAGGCCAAGATATTTAAGGTTTACTGGGGGGCGGTTGATCGTGAGTCAGTGCAATCCTTGGTTGCATTTTTCATATTGAGCTGGGTTGTCTAAAAACGTAGCTTTCACTGTCCTTTTGAACGATGTCGTCAGCCAGACTTGAATTCATGTACATAGTTATGTAAGTGGATTGAAGTGGGGGATGAAGTGTCACGACGCTTAATGGCCAGTAGGTGTTCACGTAAACGAAGGCGAAGAGGCCAACCACTTTGAATGATTCAATATTAATCACAATTGCTGCAGCTGATTTTGTGGATGATAAGATTAACTCCTTCGCTGGTCGACTTTCTTTTTGACACAAGGCCGTACAGGTTTTTGAGGCTGCATTTTAACCTCTCAAAATGACCTTCAGTGTGGTGACTCGCTTGCTAACAACTGGCAAGTTGCCTGGGACGGCTTAAGCAGTGCTTGGGATAACAGAAGAACAATCCATGTTATTTTTCTAGGCCTGATGAATCATTTGACGGCGTCCTGTAAGAAATCCTACTCCACAGGACAGTATTTGCATGGATGAGCAAACATATACCTTCTTGGTTCTAAGCTGATTTAAAGGGTATGGAGTTGTGAACAAATGTGAACAGAACACGGTTCAGGCGGAGGCTGTCAACATCGTGGGTGTCCCAGCTAGGAATCCCAAGACTGCTTTTGTCCTAGCTGTTTATTTAGGGCCTTTCACACAAAGTTTTCTCACCTATATTACTTTTTGCCCACATAATTAGGGATAAGTGAGGAAGCCGACTGTGGGGTTCTTCCAAGCGACCTTCAACAGCTGGAACACCGGTTTACACAGACTGCTTTGAAACTCAACCCGGGAAAGTCCAAAGTAGTGCCTGTCAGAGCCCACGAAGTAAGGACGGCCAAATTAGAAGACAAGGTGGACAATCATGCCATCGCTCACTCCCTACGGTAAAATATATGATTGAGCCCGCCCGCCGCCTTGAGCACCATCTCTAATTGCAAAAGATATCGCAGCTTGAATACACACCTTTTTATACTTTTTGAGTGAATGGCCTGGTGCCACCTCAACTTAGCCTTTTCAAACAGTCTCAAAATCCAATTTGCTTCCTCGTCTGGAAGTTCTCACCATGGTAGTGCACATGATACTCCAGAAAAGACCCTAACCTTCTTTAGAAATTTCGCCTATCCGTGAAAAATTCGGCTGATGGACTAAGAGGAAAAGTGCAATCTGTCAGAAAGGGGCACCTTAGGAAATTTGCTTTAGGACATTGGAGAAAGTGCGGTTACCCTGTTTCGCCCACGAGATCACCACTCATCAAGCTAGTCAAGCAAACAAATTGACCTCACCTGCAACGCAGAGGTCACCGACAGGAACCCCCATCAGGATAACACATTGGAAGGTTAACGTCAAGCTTGAGCCAAACTTGTTTTCCTCCAGGCTATGTACCTCACTTAATACTGTACCATAGGATGCAGCTACAGCCTCCTTATTCAAAGGAAAGTTAGACAATTACGTAAGTCAGCAGTGCTTAACAGTGACGTACTCGGGATACCGCTGATCTTACAAGTCCACTGCTGCTTTCTTATTAGCTACATACCGTCATCTTTCTTTGATACAACTTTATTTTCACCTAACCCTTCTCCAGTAGTCAAATTCAAGATCCCCACGTTTACCCTTCGGGAGCCTGTCACGTGCGTGTTACCACCACCCTGACATTCATATTCGGGCAAGTATGCAAACGGGGGTCATGAGAGATCCCTGATCTTCCCTGTGGCTTGTGGCCTCCAAAACACATCAACCCCTACATTTCAAATACCAACCCATAAGTGAAACCCAGCTCACTAGGGGTAAAAGCGGAGAGGCAGCAGCGGTTTCTTTACCCGCTTCTAGAGAGGAGCAAGACACAGGGACGAAGTCCTAAGAACTAGACCAGAACCAATCTACAACCTCTTCAAGCACTCAATAGAGTCGTGAAAACTCCTTAAAGAATAGAAGTGCTACATCTTGTCACCCATCTTCGAGGGAGGAGATAGAAAAATCCCCGGCATCTACGGGCCGACTATAATGATAATAATAATAATAATATTTATTCCTGAACAAACAGGCACACTATTCTGACAGGTATGGATAAGTTCATATATGAATTACGTGTATCTTCATGGAAGGCAATCTCAGTCCCCACCCCTTCGTCACCAGAAGGTATAAGTGCTGCGCGTTCATATAATGGAACATTTCAGCAGAATAAGTATGCAAGTTGGAAAGGGTAAGTATTGCTTTTGCATTAACAAAAAACCAGGTTTGCATCTAGACACTACAGGTATTACCCGGAGAAAAATAAAGGTCGATGCCAATACTTTTATCATAACAGTTTGTACTTTTTGCTTGAGATAATGGCAAAAAGCTTTTGAAGGAATGTACGTGCGAACTGTTTACATATTGTACTTAATTGGCGGTTTCAGGACTGTGTAATTCATGCATGTTAGTGCCATTCCATGACAAAAATTCATAATCTTGATAAGTATTATGACTGAAAGCCAAATGTCTTCACTCTTCCTTATGCCGTTGAAAGTGTGGGAAGGCCTGGCAGCTGATACTATCTGGGAATTTCCCAACAAGAAAAACGCCGTCTATACTCAGCATGGATTTTGGAGTGGTTGCTCATGTGCCACCAACTCATTAACCTCTTTGAAAGGCCGGACTACTAGCTGGGACAACAGAAAACTAGTATATGTTGTTTTTCTCGGCCTAGCCGAAGCATTTGACAGTACCGCACCCACAGTCCTGCTTCACAAGATCATGTCAGCTGGTACAAGTGAACCCTTGCTCTCTCGGCTCAAGGAGTACCTGGAAGGTAGGCAGTTCTGCACCGGGGTAAACAGAATAAGGTCACAGTAGAGACCATCGACGTCAGGAACATCCCAAAAAACAGTCCCAGCACCACTTCT